CTCCTCCCCGCCACCGAACTCCAAAGGGATTTAGAAACTAAAATAGATAGGCAGAGATCACACACGGGGATTTATTCACCCACCACACCTGGAAAAGAACTGCCCCGTCCAAAGTGCAACTAAAGGGGGATTTTCCAGGAAGCCAGTTCCCTATGGAAATGTAACTGGAATGCCCCTCTCCTCTTCAGGAAAGTGACAGAAAAAGCAACCACACGCAGCCAGAGATGTATTTCCAGTAGATGCTGCTTAATAACAACCCTCACTACATTTTGCCTGGAACCGATACTCCAGCTGACTATAAAGGTAACTGGTTTGGCTATTGGCAACCGGCTTGACAGCTTAAAAAAAAAAAAAAAGGACCGGCATCCCCCAGACCCCCAGCAGCTCCACTCTCCGGGGAAAACCCCAGCTTTCAGGCAGGTTTGCAGGGCTGGAGCCACAGAAATCACGTCCTAGCGATTCCTTTCCTGGCTACAGCACCACAACCCTGACTTCTGTTTATCAGGCAGCGTCGGATAATGGCAACTGTCAGGCATCAACCAGCAGCTTGCTACCAAGCGGAATGTGCTGTTCTGCTAATCTATGGGCCTGTCTATATTAGACAAGTCGGAGCAGTGTAACTAACTCAGTTTTAACATTGATCTTCTAATTGTACTAGTGTAAATTTCTAATGTAGATTTAAACCAGCTGAAGGAAGACACAGTTTAACACCCTAACACGTGTGGGGTCCATATAACGCCTGCAGCAGCGCCCCCCTCTGGTGCCAGCCCCGCCTGCCCAATGCCAAGCTAAGGGCCTCCAATCCCTTGTCCCAACTCCGTGCAAAACACACCAGTCACGGCTGCAGACAACCCCCCCGGCTCCACAGTTCAATGCAACTCCAGCAGCCTGCGGCCCCACCCCCATGCAAGTTAGCCCAGCGCCTGAGCTAAGACAGCGGGAGAAATGCAACCTCCCCCCCCCACACGGCAGCAGAGGGGAAGCAGCCCCCCCCCATTATTTCTCCCCTCCCCCGGCCCTTCCCCACATACACCCCCGACACACACCCAGGTGAGTGCAGCGAAGCACTGAGACAGCAACATGTGGGGTTGCAGTAGGAACCTAATGCAATAAACTCACCCGCCAGGGCGCTGTGGTGGGGAGGCAACCTTTGCAGGAGCAACACAAACACACACACACCCCCCTTCGATGGCAGAGCGAGCTACGCACTTTATCCAGCTGAGTGTAAACAGCCCCGCCCCCCCTTTGCCGAGACCGCAGTTCACTCCCTCTGGTCCAAGGCTGGAAGCGACTCCCCGGGTCTCAGACTACAATCTTTTCTAGCCAAGCCCCCCCCCCCCTTCTGCAGAAGTCTCCGCTTTTATTTGCTCCTAAGGGGGATCAGCTGCCTAGCTTGTGTCCAGCTCCTTGCACACAACAAAGCCCATTGCATCCGACATTCCCCCAGCACCCCCCCCCTCTGTTGCACGGACCCCCCTCCGCAACTGCCCCCTCCCTCCCTCAAGCCAGGGGCTCTGTGTGCCCCCCACAGCCCCATGACCCCTAGACCAGGGGGCTCCCCTTTCTCCCCCAAGCCCAAAGGCTCTGTGTGCCCCTCAGATCCCCATGTCCCTAGACCAGGATACCCACTTCTCCCCCCAGCCCAGAGGCTCTCTGTGCCACCCTCACAATCCCCTCTCCAATGTCGCCCCTTCCCATTGCCAGGGACTCTGTTCACCCCCATCTGTGTGCCCCTCCATGCCAGGGGCTCTGTGTCCATCCCCCCTATGCCCCCTCCCCTGTACCACTCTCTCTCCCTCTTACCACTATGGCAGGTGTGCTGGGGGTGCTCCAATCCTCCTCCCCTCACCCCATGACAGGTTCTTTGTGCATCACTCCCCCCTCCCCAGTTCCTCCCTCAGGATTGCACAGATCAGTGTCCAAAAAGTCCCCAAGCTGACACAGTGAGGTCTGCCAGAGTTTGCAGAGAGCCTGCTCCAGAAAGCCACAGGCACCTTGTAACAGCGGGCACCAGAGCACTGCTGTGAAGAGCAGGGTGTCCAGGGGAAACCCCTAAAACAATCCAGCACAGAGCTCTGCTGGGATGCTAGCAACGGGCTCTTCAGTCTTCACACAGAGGTCTCTGCAGGGGTTTAAAAAACCATCCCCCTCCTCCCCCTTGATGGCATGGTGCACATGGAAGACCAATTGTAGGAGGGGCGGGGGGAGGCAGGGTTCCCACTGCCTTGGGTCTTCTCTCTGATCAGTGTCTCCCTGCCCACTGCAACCTGTTTTTGAGAGGGCTGGGTCCAGTGAAGAAGGTGGGGAACACAACTCCAGCAGGGGGCTGTGTGTGGGGAGGGACCCACCATGCCAACAGGGGGCCCACAGAGAAATCACTAGAGGGTGGCACAGTTCATTGCTGACGGAGGCCGAGCTGTGCGCCAAGAGAGCATGGCACGTTAAAGGGGCCACCTGCAATATATGTAGGCAGCAGCCTGTTGCATGGAAAATGGCCCTGTGTGGGCCTCAGTTTCCCCTTACTTACACCAATGGACATCAGATTTTTCTGGTTTCCCCCCCAGATCAGTAGGGCTCTAGCCATAGGGTTCCCCTTATCAGAGTATCTGAACTCCTCAAAATCTTTAATAATAATAATACCTAGCTTGTATCTGGCACTTTTCATAAAGTAGATCTCCTAGCACTTTACAAAAATCATTAGTGCCATTTCACAGATGAGGAAACTGAGGCACAGGGGAGGGGAAAGCAATTTACACCCCCCCCCCCACACCACACACACACACTCACCCAGCAGCAGAGCTTGGAATAGACAGGCTTGAAAGCTCGTTTCTCTCCCCAGCAGAAGTTGGTCCAGTAAAAGATCTCTCACCCACCTTGTAGATCCTTGGACTGACACGGATACAACACCACTGCTCAAATTCTGCACAGTCACATATGGGTGGCTCATGCTTTTTTGTGACTGGCTGTTCCCACCCCTGATAAGTCATAGGGCTGACTTAGTGGAGATGACTCAGGAGGGTCGTAGGATCAGCACAGGATAAATATTCAGACAGACAAGCCATGTGGTGCCAGAACCAGCGTAGTACCTGCATGAAACTCAGGGCATGTCTACACAGCAACTAGACATCCACGGTTGGCCTGTGCCACCTGACTTGGGCTTGCAGGGCTATGTCATTGCTGTGTAGACATCTGGGCTAAGCCTGGAGTTCAGGCTCTAGGACCCTACCCGGGTGGGAGGGTCCCAGAGCCAGAGCCCAGAAGTCTACACAAAAATGAAACCGCCCCACAGCCCAATCCACGAAAACCCAAGTCAGCTGGCATGGGCCAGCCACGGGTTTTCCTTTGCAGTGTAGACGTATACTTACTGGCTTCTGGACCAGCGGCTCTCAGCCTTCCCAGATGACTGTACCCCTTTCAGGAGGCTGATCTGTCTTGCGTGTGTCCCCCCAAGTTTCACCTCACTTAAAAATTACTCGCTTACAAAAATCAGACATAACAATGCAAAGGTGTCAAAGCCACTGTTACTGAAAATTTGCTTCCTTTCTCATTTTTATCATATAATTATAAATCAATTGGAATATAAATATTGTACTTGCCTGTCTGTGTGTAGTCTATAGAGCAGTGTAAACACGTCATCGTCTGTCTGAAATTTTAGTTTGCACTGTTTCGCTGGTGCTTTTTCTGTAGCCTGTTATAAAACAAGGCAAAGATCTAGATGAGCTGATGTGCCCCCTGGAAGACCTCTGCGTATCCCCAGGGTACATACATGTACCCCTGGTTGAGAACCACCGCTCTAGGCAAGCACCAATAATCCCATGGGCTGTGGTAAAGGAATTTACATAGCCTAGACTAGAAGAAGGAATTACTGGGGTCCAGCACAGCACAGACAGACACACAGCAATGCAGTCACACAGCTTCTCTTTCTGAATGCATCTATTTCCTTTATCCTTTTGCTCCCAGCTCAGTTCTCCTGCCATCTGACACCCGCCCAGCCTTCTAGCCGCCCAATTTATGCCTTAACTACAATGCTCCAAATTCTGCACTCAGTCCTAACTGTATTAGCCCCACTAAACCGACTCGGGTATTTTGGCTCAGTCTCCTGCTGCCTCATGTTATGCTTTGAATAGATGCGGTTTGCAAGCATTGTTCTGTGTTCCCACTTGCCCCCGTACCTGCAGATCTGCCTTACCTCATGTGAAACTAGCTTGCAAATGAAAATAACCAGAAAGCACCTCCCTCCACTGTAAGGAGAGAAAGCAGAGACAGCAGCCCTGCTGCTGCGCCTTTCCTCAAGAAGCAGAAGAGATCAGGAGGACCCAGGGCTGATCCCCGTAATGGGCAAAGCTGGGCCCCATCTGGCTGCTGGATTTTTATTTATTACAGCTGGGGAAGAGGCTGAATTCCGGGTCCCTCCGTCGTGCCCAGTGGCCTGGAAACGTGAGCAGGGCAGATCTGCTCTGGGAAGCATTTGGGGCAGTTCTCTGGCCTGTGCCATTCAGGTGGGCAGACTAGATGCCATGATGGTCTCTAGTCATTAAGGAGTCCTGCCTTGAGTGGCACAAGCACAGTGGTCTAATGGTTAGAGAAGTGGTTTCACCCGGGGATCTGGCCCATTGACTCCAATAGAGCTACGGCCCCTTTACACCAACCTCTGGGAGGGAATCCAGATCAGCTGGGGCTCCTCCCAGCCCTGCAGCTTCCCGCGCCTTATGTTGATCACTCTTCATTCGCTACACGCTGTTCTCCGCTGCTGGCTACGCCCGCCCTACCCTGTGTCCAATCAGAGGAGAGTATGCTAATAACAGCCAATCACCAGGCTTGCAGACAGGCATGGCTAAATCCCGCGTTTTTGATCATGCCTAGATGCTGTAGGGCCTGGCTTGGAATATGGGGTTTGCAGAGCACGCCTGGCTGTTGGTGCCCCGGGAGGGGGAGATGGCTCAAAGGCTCAGCTGCAGGGGATGCTGCACAGAAAGGGGCTGCCAGCAGGTAAGCTGTGAACTTCCTTTGTAACAGTGCCCTGAGAGGGCTGCTTCCCCCCAAGGGCCAACAGCTCTGGGAGGGCTAGGAGGGAAGTGAGGGTCAGAGCTCCCAGGGGTGTGGGTGCTGCCTAAAACCTTCCATCGTTCCAGCAACAGCTCTGGACTATGCCTCTCTCACTCCCAGGCTTTTCCCTGGCCTCTAAGCCTCAGTGAAAGGCGATCTCTAAACTCAGGATTTCTCATTCAACCCCACCAGTTTGCACGGGTGCTTCCCTGCTGGCCAGCACAGCGGCTTCTCAGTAGGGACTGGAACTAGAACAGAAAACCTCTGCTCTTGGAAGATAGTGGCGCCTAGTGGTTAGAGCGGGGGGGGGGACCACTGGGAATCAGGATTCCTGGGTTCTATCCCTAGCTCTGGCCGTGGGGTGGGTTAGGGCAGGAGGAAGGGACAAAGATGACTTGGAAAACCATCTTGGTCTGAAAAATGCTGTCCCAGCGTGAGTTGGATCCTGCAAACGTGCGATGTGGGACTTCCCACAGAGTAGTTAGATCCGTGTTTAGTTTAAGTTTTTAGGGACATTGTGGGGTGGTCTGCTGGGGGCACAGCTCTGCGCAACTGCTCAGAGGATCGGGACCCAAGTGAGCAAAGTTATTTATGTGGCCTGGTGTTTGCTGGGCTGGGAGTTTGTACTGCTACAAATCACCCTGAAGGTGGGTAAAACTGAAAGGGTGCTGCGCTCTCGCTCTCTTTCACCCCCACCCATCCCCTCCTCTCCAAACACGCTTCCTCTGTCTCGTCTTGCGCTTTCCTTTGCACATGTGTGTCCGTTTCACCCGTCCTTCGCCCCTTTTGGAGCTGGGCGTTTTAGAGAAGCTAATGTGTCGAGCCCCGCAAATCCACGGCCAGTCCGCTGTATATCCGCAGATGTGGTTGTGGTGTTTACGATCTTTGCGGATCCGATGTGGATCCGGCTTTGTGCATCAGCGCGGGTCTCTACCCGTGAGCGAGGGCGCTGCTGCGGATACCTATAAAAAGTGGAGCGCGGGTCGGCCACCAGTTAATTATCCAAATGTCTGTATCCGCTCAGGGCTCCAATGATCCGTCTCTATTTCGAGCTAGTCCAGCGTCCCTCTGAACAACCTCCTGGCCTCCAAAACCTGGTTCTCTTCCAGCCTGTGTGTGTGGGGGGTGGGGGGAATCTTTCCGGGTTTGCCTTGCAATCCAGCATATTTCAATGGTCCCGCCTCTTTTCACGTGGGAGGAGAACCTGTCAGCTGGCACCCACTCCAGCCAATGGGGTTGGATTACGCAAGGTCGTGACGTCTGTCCAAGTTCCCGGGAAATACAAGCCTCCAAGAAAATATCAGCCAGTGCCGCGAAGGGGACGGACGCACGTAGCAGCTGCTACGGGGACCAATGTCGGGACTAAAGACGCGGCTCTTTCTTGGGTCCCTCTGGCTGGCTGCAGGGTGCGGACAGGTGGCAGGTGAGCGGGGGATGGGTAATGGGGGGGGCGCAGCTGGGCACTGCTGACCGTGGGGGTGGGGCACAAGCAGTCGTTTCCCCGCCTTTCCAAAAGCGGCCGGAAGAGCGGCGGGGGGGGGTGTGTGTGT